TTTGCCTTCAAATAACTTGATTAAATAAGCCAATGTCTTAGACCCTCTTTTGGTGTACTGATGCTAATAGCTTATATATTGTGATTTTTTAGGGAATCTCAATAGGTTTAGGACCAAATAGCGAGCTCCGTTATCCCTCTTGCTACAAGCCTGCCAAAAATGGCATAGTTACTAGAGTTGGAGAGTTCCAATGTTACGACCTTAACATGCCTAATCTTCTTAAGCAAGGTGTTGAAACAAATGGAAATCCATTATAAAGACTAGATAGTCCACATGATGTGCCCACTAATGATCAGTCACCTAACTCAAATAGCTTATTCAAGGATTACGATGGATCATGAAAAAGTCTTTATGATGACATCTTTCTTTCTAGATACTCGAGCTAACTTATATCTCATAAAGATCATCTCCTCTCTTTTGAAAATTTATAAAAGTTTAGACTTCTTTTTATATAAACAATATCATTTATAATATATTATATATAAATTATCATTTAATTGTAACTTAGCATTTATAAATATATGATTATATATTAGATCAATAATTAAAAATAAATTTAAAATTATGAAAAATTTAATAAAAATTCTTGTACATTGTACAGGTTAAAAAAACTATTTTATAATATTATTGAAGGTAAAATGTTATCAAGTAAATCAATTTGGATATGTGATAATCAAAATACATATGATACTAAATTAGACTATCAGATGTAAAAATGATAGATCAATTATAAAATTGGATAATTTTTTATTATATATACTGTTATTTAAAAATTAGAGTATTATTTATCAAAAAACATCGGTATTTTTTTATTTTAAGGAATATTATATTTATAATTTTGATAAAAATTTATTTTTTAATGATAAAATACGTTAGTATTCTCATAAAAAATTAAACTTATTAGTCTCAATATATATAATACTAATAATTTATGATTCACACTTAACTCTTTTTTGTCAACTGTATATTCCAATATATTAAAGGTAATAAAAGTTCACATTTGAATGTAACTCTTCTTAAATCTAAATGATACTATATGTTTTTTAAATTATAAGAAATTCAACTTATTCTAAATGTTTTTTAAAAAATTTACATCCTTAAAAATTTTGTTAAAAAAAAAATAGCATAGTATAATATTGAATAAAAAATTAACCTTTTAAATTATTTGGTGAAAATAACTATTATTTACCATAAACTTTATAATACTTGTTATAAATATCAACAAATTGAAACTAAAGAGCTATTTTTATCAATTTTCATTCACTTAGTTAGTAATTAACTCCAATTCAAATTAAATCATGAAAATGATAATATCAAAGCAACAAACATAATATCATAATGACAAATAAAAAAAATCATATCACTAAAAAAAGAAATAAATCAATTCACTTCATATAAAAAATAAAAAATAAAATGCATACTTGATACATATGATAGGATAGGTGATAAGTGATCACTTTTCTCTAATTTATCACTAAGTTTACTCTTTTATTTCATGATAAAGTATAAAAAAAAATTGGTATATAAATTGATATTATAACAAAATCTTAAAAAAATGAATAAAGATATATACAATATATGTATAGTTTAAACTATAATATAACTAATAGCAATAACCAAAACTTAAAAAGAAATTCAAAACATTAAATTTTCAAGAAATTTTGCTTAATTTTAAAATTTCTTTTCAAAAAACAAATTATTATACAATTATGATGAAAAATTAATCTAAAAGATCTTAAAACATATAAAAAAAAATGAAGTAGTACCCAAAATAATACGAAACCTAGCATAACTTAATTTGTGCATCTAATCCAACAATATATAACATCATAAACAAAAAGAAAGAGAATTTAAACTAGATTTATTGCATGGCAAAAGAATATCATGACAATAGAAAAAAATTTGTAGGAATGCAATTTATTTCTTAAGCATCCCAAACATCTTTATTTATAGGATGGGTTTTGAAAATAATTATGGGATGATTTTTAACTTTTGAATGTCTAATTGACTAAAATGAATTTAAGAATCAAATCAAGATCAATAATATTATTTTAAATTAAGAGTAATTTATACTTGACAATTAGAATAATCAAACATATTATATATTTAACTTGTTTGGGAGATATGAAAAAATAAGGATTTTGAAATTAGTGTTATAATGGCAATGAAATTCATTTTATTTGATATATTCCAAATTAATTTTAATTGATTCGATATTAATCATTTTAAAATTAATATATATACATATTAAATGTGCATACATAGCTTAAAAGGTGGATTAAATAAATAGGTCATAAATTTCAAAATTAAAGTGTTTTTTTACATAAATGTAATTTAAGAGTTGAATATTATAATTCAAAAAAAAAAAGAACACAAAATTATCCTATAATGATAGCAATTAAAGTTTTTTTACCTTTAATATGAATTTAATTTATGATGATTTAAGGTAAATAATAATAGAAAATAAATGTAATTAATTTAATTTTTTAAAAATAATTCAAATATAATCAATGCATTGAAATAATTTAAAATTGATATGAAATCAAATAAAATTAATTAAATGTAAGACACATGTCGATTGTTTAAAATCATCCACATGTCAAAATAATAGACCATACACCTTTAATTTTTTCCTTTTTGGCCAAAAACTTTGATTTTTATATATTTATGTAAGATTGCTTATTACATAATATTGTTATGTGGTACATTTGTTAGGAATTATGGCTATATATGGTATTTTATATATTTAACAATTTTAAACACTATACTAAAATTATAAAAATAATATAATTTAAAATTTTAATAAAAATTATATAAATTTGATAAAAAATAAAAATTATATTTAATACATTTACATTAATTTAATATTGACAAATCACATATCATATATAATATAATATTATAACATACATACAAATTTGATAAGTTTTGCCACATAAACGCTTATATAGATAATTTCTTTGAATGACATGTCAGATAGTAATAATTAAATATTATTATATTTTAATATTTTTAAATATATAATTTTTAAAATATATAAAGTTATTTTTTATATACTTTTTAAATATATAATTTAAATATATTGTTACCAACAAAATTTGTAATAATTAAATATTGTTATCAACAATTCTAATTTAAATATATTATCTTTTTTAAATTTTAAATGAATTTCTTATTAATCTAGACAATATCTTTTTAAATTTAAAAATCTTAGTAATGTATGATATTTTAAAATAGATTTTCTAATAATCTAAACATATATATATATATATATTCTTTTGAATCTAAAAATCCCATAATGTATGTAGATTATTTATAGATTAATTTAATTACATATATTCACCTCAATCACCAAATTTCTAATGAAACAAAAACAAGAAAGATTAACAAAATTAAAAAAAAAACTTTAAATCATCCAAGTAAATCTTGTTAAAGAGAAGAATAAATTTCAAATGTAAAATATATTATTTTAAAAATGCATTTATTAATGATCTAGATTTATATATCCTTTTAAATATAAAAAACTAAAATATACTCATATCTTATATTTAAAATGAATTTCTTGATTATTCAAAACAATAGATTTTTTGATAATTTAATTACATATCTTTTAAATTTTAAATTCTCAAATGTAGTTTTCATTTTTAGAGATTTCGTAATAAACCTCTATTATTTGATTATTTTTAAATTCAAAAGGACTAAATATCACATATTAGAATAAATAATTTAATAAAACTCTTAAAATCAATTATATTTTTCAGCTTTTTTTTTTCTCTATGTATGCTTCTTCGATATGAAGTTTAAAGTTACAATTTACAAAAGCATTTATTCTTCTCTTTTATAAATGTTAATGACATGTTTCTTATCTTTAACTTATAAATATCTACATTAAATTATTTAGATAATCACCTTAATTTCTAAAATAGGTTTTATGTTTCATAATACTACTATAAATGGTAATTGTCAAATTTATTTGCAGGTCTCAAGTGGTAGTGCCATGTGCAATAATACTATGCCACCGGTTTTATATACACCAATCTCATACAAAAAATGATTAGTAGGTAGATGTTTTATTGCTTTGTTTTAATGCTTATTTGCATGTTTCTCTTTCAAAATATATAGAACCCTTTGTTTTCAAGTATGGGTGCTAATTGACAATAGATGCACATATGTAAATACTTGGCATGAGACCTTTTATCAACAAACATCTAGATTAACATTTAACTGCATTATTTGGAAATAAAACATTAGTGATTGATACTAAAAATAAATGATTACACATATGATATTATTACATATTATTTTTTAATATTTATTAGTTTTTGTTTTCTCTGATAATTATATTATGAAAAACTTGACTTTTCTTAATATAGGGGAACTTGACTTTAATTATTAAAATTTTTAAATCTAATTGGCTTGATTTTCTCGTTTCTGTTGGTGAATTATGTAGACTATCGTAACTATAAACACATTTCTCACTTGCAAAATGGAGAAAACACTACACTTACTGCAGGATGTCATCACTGTCGGCTATGATATAAAGTAAGCCCTTAATACAGTGTTTAAACATTTAAAATCATTATTTTTCTTAAATAAATAAAATTTATCTTAAAATTATATAAATTTGAAGGTACTTGAAAATGATTGCATAAAATGAAAATATACAAATCGAAGAAAGTGAAATTGAAATGATGAAACTTTAATTTTTTATTTTAATATTTTGTTGGTGTACTCAATATTATTATTTATAATATCTTTTGGATATTTTATTCTTCTTCAAATATTATTTTTCATATTTTTGAAACTTGTTAAATTTTTAATAAAAATTTTTAATTTTTTAATAATTTGATATATTAATTATATTATATGTATTTTACATATATCTTAAATATATAAATGATTAAATAATATTAATTTATACATTTACATATATTTAAATAATTAAAAATAATTCGTGTAACGCACATATAACAAACTAATTTTCAAATATATGACGCCAACGGAAATAGTAAATGGTAAAATATGGGCAGAACCAAACGTTCTTTTTAGGATTTTTCTAATCAAACGCCCCATGGACCCACAATTTCAGGGTGGAAAAAGCTGGGCCGAAACGTAATAAAAGCCCAGCAACGTCCCTTCGCCGACGTTCTCACCAAAACCCTAAACCTCTCAGGATTAGGATGATTCTACCTATATAATAAATATAAGCCTATTCTAAATCTTCCATAGTCTCACATCTTGCTGCGAAGCAACGCAAAACAAACCCTAGAGCTAAGGTATTTTCCCTCTCCATCAATCCGCTTTCATTGTTCGGGTTCTATTTCGTTCATGTGTACTTATATGTATATATCTTGATATCGCAGATTTACTGTTGAAAATTCTTGGGTGCAATGGCCGCCGGTGAACTTGCTTGTACTTACGCTGCATTGATCCTCCATGACGATGGAATCTCAATCACCGTACGTTGACACTATTCTTTTCAATCTCTTTATAAATATTTTAAATCCTTTTTATTATTTTTTTCTCAGTATATTATCTACTCCTTTTCTTATTTATATTTAAAAAATTTATGTAGGCTGAGAAGATTGCCGCACTTGTGAAGTCAGCGAATGTGCGCGTTGAATCTTACTGGCCAAGTCTTTTCGCCAAGCTCCTTGAGAAGAGGAACATCGATGATCTCATTATGAACATTGGTTCCGGTGGTGGTGCTGCCCCTATTGGCGTTACTGCCTCCCCTGGCGCAGATGCTGGTGGCGCTGCAGCCGTCGCTGCCCCTGCTCTTGAGGAGGAAAAAGTGGAAGAAAAGGAAGAGAGTGATGATGACATGGGATTCAGCTTGTTTGATTAGGCACAAATTTCTAGTTTGGATTTTCTTTTCTTGTTTAATTTTCTTTTTGCTGACAATTAGGACCCATCTAAAACGTTAGTTGAATTTTGTTTATGTTCTGAGAAATCTAAATGTTCCTGATTTTTTCGCAAATTAAAGAAGTTACATGTTGCATCTTGCTTGGTTTAATTGTTTTTCTCTCGACATTGTTCTTTGTCGTTGTTTTGATTTAGGTTTACAAATCTGTCTCTGTTTATAGATTCTTGCTTAACTTGTTTATTACGTGAATTTCCAACTTCGTTTGGAATACTAAATCATTCGGTTCCTCATGAAAGCAGTTAAGGAAAACCCTTTCATATTAGAATGTTGCGAGAAACATTATAATTGGTAGTGAAAGGATGGTGCGATATACAGCAGAAAATATAAAATAAGATAATCTGATAGAACCTATTTATGATTTGCAAGTGCATTTGAATGGTATTTATGATGACTCTCAACTGCAAAACACATGCTTGTAGTTTACGGCAGTTCAGCCAAAGCCAATTGACAATGCGAATGTTAAAGAGTAGCTTAACGTTGATACTTTTTCTGGCGTACGGGCCCTCGTAGTTTTCATTTTTGTGCATGTCTTGATAAAAATTCTGAATACTTTTATGTATGGTTTTGCTCTTAATATTTATATTGTATCATCCTTTTTGATCCCGGTTGGTTTATTTGTGCTGTATCTTTCTCCATCCGAGTACACATTTTATGCTTTACCTGAACGTCTTTATTGTTGTTTGAGCATGGAATGAAGTTGGATGATGAGATGGCGTCAGGGGGTGTAAATACAGTATCTTTTGAGTATTGATTTCTTGTTTTGAAATTAGAGATATCAATTTTACTCATCGGACGGGGAATCGGATGTTTTTTACTCCAACAGAAATGATGGTATGGATATCAAATTTTGTCTGTAAATATTTGGGCATCAAATTTTTGCAATACTATGAACGTGCCTCGTACATTTAGAGGCTTAAGAAAGGATTCAATTTAGAGATGTAAATGATACATTAGTATTCGCAAGTTATTCGGATTCGATTCAAATAAAATTCGAATTCAGTTTGATTATTATCGAGTCGAGTTTAAGCTCGAGTAGTTCGACTCATTGATCGAGTCGAATTCAAGTATTCTTATACCTGACTCGAGTAGTTCGTGAGCCTAATCGAGTTTTTATATATAAATATATTTTCATTATTTTAATTAATAAAATATCTCGAATTCGAGTTCGAGTTCGAGCACAAATAATCAAATTTTTGTCGAATATATGAATCAAACTTATTTTTATATATTAATCGAATTTAATCGAGCAAGTTTGAGTAGCTCGATTTTGATCACGAATCAAGTTTGAGCTAAAAAATTAAAACTCGACTAAGTTTGAATCGAATATCAAACCGCGAGTTGAAAGTCGAACTCGAGCTCAAACTTCTCATTATATCGATTCGAATCAGCTCGATTATAGCCCTAATCCAATTCAGCCACAATAGCTCACTAGTCATAACAGTTCATCATCCTCATGGGTCAGCCAGCCCAACAAGACTTTCCCTGCCTTTTCTCTTCATTGTACAACATAGATGAGTGAAAGTCACAATATGAAATTTTGTATCCTATTGTATGTTCACAGAGCTTCTTTTTTCAGCTTTTCGTGTTGTTTGAACTTTAGTTCGATTTGAGTTGAGTTCCTTTTCTTAGTGTAGTAGACTTGTATAAGCATGTTGAAAAAAATTGCTAATTCTAATCTTGTTTTGATAATTTTAAGATACGTTGAATATATAGAATTATAATGTGATAGGATAAAATATGAATATAATTAGATTAAATAATATAATTTTATATTATATTTTATATGTATAATTATTAGAATAAAAGAATTTATTTATTGATCAAAAATTTTTTTTTTTAAGTTTATAAATTTAAATTATTGATATAATTTTTAAGAATATAATAAAATATTTAAATTTAATCTCATAAATTAAAAATAATCAATTTCAATTTAAGAGAATTGGATTATCTTATATAAAAAAATAATTATTATTTTTTAATAATTCTATCTTTTTAAAAATATAAATTAAATATAATATAAAATAATTATTATTTTATTTTATCCATTATCTTATATATCAAATATAACCTTACTATTTTGATTAAATATATCATCTATAATCTATTCACCTTAAATGCTTTTATTTAACCATATTTTTTTTTTCTGATAAAATTTGTTTGAGTAAATAGATAAAAAGCCGTCCACGAGTTAAGACCAATTTACAGGTAACCGCGTATTCTAATTCTGGTTGGTGCAGGTCACACTTCCAGTTACAGGCTCCAACTCATCAGGTCACTTTCACTCGGATAACGCCATATTCCAACTCATCTTGGGCTTTCGCGTCAGACAATAGAATCTTAATCCACCAAAAGCTCCCAACATTTAATCCTAGGCGTCCATGTAGCCACCTGGACTCCAACACCCACTGCCAGATAATCACGTCCAGATCATTCTAGTACTTGTTTTCTTATACAATCTCGATTTCCCTTCAATGCTCTTCTTTTAGTCCTTCCATTTCTCGCCATCAACTTTCAGAATCCTTTCAAAGCCTTCAAATTAAGTCCAAACAGCGAATTAACTGAGAATTTGTCATTTCTTTATCGATACAATTCTGTTGGTTACGATGATGATGTCTATGTTCAGTTCGTTCGAAGCCTTTTGGGCTGATTCTCACGGTCATAAGCTGAACTTTACCACAGGTTCCTCTTCCGCAGAACAAACGAGGCCCGAGGAAGTTTCTTGCCTAAAAGGGAAAAAGAAAGAGACCGACAAGAATTCATCGCCGCCGGCTAGGGCTAAGAAACCACAACAGCAACGTTTAAGGTCGAGGTTTGCGCCAGAGTTCGATGGCATTCATTATTTCGATACAATTATCCCTTACTGAGAGAATTCCATTGCAAGATGATCATCCAATTTCTGTTAATCATAGAAAATTTTTTGGCAGTAGATCTTCTTCTTCTTAGTTCGTATATTTCTTATGAGAGTTACTAATGTCAAATTCTTTTCAATCCATCACTCGACTCAATTTCATTAATTTTTTTTACTATAATTATCTCTGGAATTTTTATCTTTTTGTTTTTTCTTTTTTAATCGTATTTTGCGTTTTCACCAAGGCATTCTTCCCCTTAGTGCTAACCGACAGAGATAGAAAAGAATTCAATCATTAAAAGCGTTTTAGTAGATTTTTTAACAAGCAGATGCTAGTTGTGAGAGGATAAGGAGATGATGAAGCAAAAGGCGGTTGTGGTCGGCACGCTCCACCCAACGTGGCTTACTTTCATTCCATTAAGCTTCAACTCCAGCTTGGATAGGATTATCCTCCCCTCTTTCAACTTCTAATCATCTTAAAGGGACCCAAAGTCAAACATTTAACTTTTCTTCACTTTCTTTTTAGTAGTCAGTCGGCTTAGGCACTTTGCCCTTACTTGGCTTCTGTCTTAAATATCTAAGCTACAATTTGAGTCGGTTCCCTTTTGTACATGCTACCATTGAACTTTTATCCAACGGAAGATCAGCTTTTTCTCCTACCTGGATAAGTAAAGATAAAAAAGCACTGGTTGTACCAATTCATTCTTTTACTTCTTTTCATCACCAAGGTGCAAGGCACAAATCTTTCCTCTCCATCATCTAAAAACTTAAGTTGCTTCTCAAACGCAAATGGCTGTGGGTACAAACTATGCAACAATCCCAGCTGTAGTTGCTGCTGCAGTGGGGATTTATTCTTTCGCTCGTCATTCAGGAGCCAATGTAATTATATATCCCTCCCTTCTTATATTATAATACCCGTTGCCTTTCCAATGCAGTAAAGACAGTAAAGTTTTTTTCTTAACTATTGGTTCACTTGAAAAATCTGCTGCTCAATATTAGGATTTACTTGTTGAGGAGTTTGGAGGTGGGATTCGGTCATCCGTCGGAAGTATGTTGGCAAAACCGACCCAAAAGGTGAAGACCACACCGCTACCAAAGGTGGCACCACAATTGGATGGGTTGCACTATTTTGAAACCTTGGTGGGTTGTTAATGTTGGTTAATCTGCTTTGTTAGCTGCATCCTGCTGCTGGAGGTTCGTGGATGGCTGTTGTCAAGATATTTCCTCCTTTTCATATTTACTTTCGCATATTCCTAGATACAGATTAGAGATAATATTTCCTCCAAATTGCATAGATTTTATTTTTGGTTCATTCAGCCATTACTTGCCTAAATTTTCCAAGCAAAGTAAAAACATGTTGCATTAGACTACCGAGATAGATAGCACCAGATTGAAAGTTTTCGCAGTTTAGGTTCGTAAATATTAAATACTGTATCTAGCTTTCCGGATAAGATACAAATACAAGTGCAACTGCTACTCTACACAGAAGCAAAGTACCCTGCAAACTAAACATGGAAATATGGAAGGTGTATTACTTGTACATGGATCACACGCACACTATTCTGAGAAAAAAATGTTCAACATTTCGGTATTGAACCCAAACTCAATTAACGTGGTGTGGATTTTGTGTAAGCATACATAATTGCTTGCTGGAATGTCTAATCAAGCCCAATCATGATGGTTTTCGAAATTCAGTGGAAAGGAAGGAAATAATAAATGCACATAGTGATTCACAATGAGACAGAATTGAAAGCTTAGTTGTGTCTTCACCAAACAAAAAAACAAGCAGAATAAAACAGCACAGGCAAAACCTTCAGAATAGTTCACTTATCATGACACACAGAATCAAATTCATCATTTTCAAAATGCCCCCTGTGAATCCAAATTGATATTATATAAGATGATAAACCATGCTATCATATTAGTGGACTATGTTTGCTATCATATTAGTTGACTATGTTCTGTCCCAAATGAAACTGCATGCGCATAACAGACATGGAGTAAGGTGCCAGTGGCTCAGCACCTTTCATGTGAAAATTCCTGTTGTATGTAAAGCCATACAGCTTTGTTACCTTATTAATGTTAATGCATTAAATGTGAAATTCAAAATATACATATGAGCGGACATAAATATACAATCTCTCCCGTTATTGCAAATAATTAAATCCCTACCATTCTACCCTCTACCATATCAAGAAACCTGCTCTCTCGTTCAAAATGATGAGCCTATGTCCCACATTACTCTTTTGTTATATCTACTCAATCAGTTGTTAATAAGGTTAATTTCTGTACTCGTTAATTCAGTAGGCATGACTTTCACGTCACAATCGAAGAGGGTGGACATTTAGACTTTTCACCACAAAGCAGGCTCGTCCTCTCTTAGAGAGGATTCATCTAACTATTTTCATTTATGTTCCATCAAGATATCACTTCACAACGTATTATTAGTCTCAAACTTACCTAGATCATAAAATGCAATCCACATTGACTTGCCATCATTAAATGCAACTCATTCTCACTCACACGATCTTTCCTCGAGCTCCACATGAACTTACCATCATTTATCAACAACTCTAGCTACATTATCATCTTCCCTCTCATATATAAGATAAAAATAAAGCTCAAATACAATAAAAACTCTGAATTTTTCTACTTTAAACTTTCTTGGCACTCCTTAAAATTCATCTTTTCCCTCTAAAAACTCTAAATATTTGATTGATTTAAATGTTGGAGTGCATCCTAAAAATCAATTTCGATGTCTCTTGACCATATTTCCTACTGTTGGTATAGGTCATCCCTCGTACAACCTCCATATCATCATTTAACTTAACAGCGCCCAAAACACCCTCAACAAAGTGAAAACCAAAATAAGAGTTGCATGTTAAGTTTGACAGCAGGGGAAAATAGAGAGAAGAAAGAAAATGTTCATTTTCATCGATTCAAATTTCATTTCAACTGCTTTAGAGATTATTTCTGTCAGATTTTTTGCCCTATTTTATGCTTGTCCAAACCATTGATCATTTCATACAAAGCCAACTACACTGATTATCTACTACACTATCCAGAACCAGAAGAGCTCATTTTAATCAACTATCCAGTCTTCCTAGTTCTCGACTGTTTATGTCCTTTCAGACGACAAAAACACCCTTAAAAATCTTGTCAGTATTTTTTGTCCTCAGTTCCAACCAGCAAATTGTTTTACTACTAGTTTTAGCATATCAGATAATTCAAAAAGTTTAAACCTATTTCATACCTTTGTCACACAATTGAAAGACCCATCCAATTCCCCTATCCGTCGACCTATTATGTATTCTCTGTCACCGCAAAAGAATGGAAACTGAGCCACAAAGAATTAGAAAAAAATAGTATAAGCATTGCAAAGTAATTTATTCGTTATCAGACTAGGCAAATAAAGGGAAGTCTACGTTTCTTATCCATTAAGCAACCATAGTCCCTCAAGTATAGTTTAGAATTTAGTGTATCAATATAGAGCAGAAAGATCATTTATATATAGTTTAAGAGAAATTATTTATATTATTTAAATAATTGATTTAAGTGTTAGAATGGACCAAATCATTTGAATTTGTTAAAAGTTTTCTTAATAGGTCAAATAATTTTAAAAATAAAAAATAGACACTTGGGCACTTGGGTCACTTGAGTTTGTTTAATGAATAGATTTAATTTTTAAATTATTTATTTATTTTAAAATATTATTAATTCTGAATAAACATATTTGAATAGAAAAAATATGATAATTAGAATAAATATATTTAAACAAAAAAAATGACTGTTTAAATAAACTTTATTTAAATATAAAAACATGATTATGTAAAATGTCATGATTTTTTGAATTGATTTGATTGATGATTGTTTATTTATTATAAATAAATTTTTTTATCTGATCAAATTTATTATTTTTAATTTAAAATTTTTTTAAAACATTATTATTTCTTATAAATATAATTATTTTTACGATAATATTCTTTACACCTCAAAATCATATTTCTTTTTTCATATTATTTCTGTTTTCTTAAATTTTCTAACAGTAAGACACTCTTCTATGGTTGCAGAAAATGCAAGCATGTCATTCCACTTTGGCCGAAACTCATCATCCCAAAATAAGGCCCTCTCCCTCTTTGAAGTAGCATCCTCAGCTCGAAGACAGTTTTGCTGCGATACTGAGGAGGATCAGTCTAATAAACCCAAGTAAATAAAAAAGATCAGTTATCAAACATTTCCACCAACATAATGTCACTTTCACTCAAAAGAAAAGAAAAAGTTGACTGTACTTGTTAAACAAATAGAGGAGAAAAATCCTGCCTTTGGATCTCTCCGCATTGCTTGGTACCTCACATTTGGGGTAGAACGATCCATCATATATCTTCGGCTAGGCCCTACGTCCCTCATCTCAACATTTTGCCATAGATGCTTTAAATCCTCCTCTGTTACAACACTTGAACGTCCTTCGTTAAGCTGTGATATGCAGAATGTGCTAAGAAAAAAAAGTACAATAAAAAAATAGAAGCCTGCTCCAATCCATTATTTTTCATTAATTGTCTACATCTAGCCATGCTTAATCAAAGAATGTTAATATTAAATTGGAGAAATTTAATGGAGAAATTGGAGATAAAAAAGAAAAATACAAATTGTCATGGACCCAAAATCCAGTAAAACGGCCCAGGCCTTTCTTATCGTAAAGGTGAATCACGGGTCGAAGTTAACTCTGACCTTTTTATAAAGGGCATTAAGCGACACGTGCCGGAGAGCTTACCATGCGCATCGCGCACCCTCGTATAATCTAGCATTTCCCCCTTCTTCAACTGCGAAACGACCGCTGCTGCGTTTCCCAGTTAACTGAAGAGCCATAATTTTTTTGTTTGCCCTCTTATCACTTCCTCAACAATTACGCCAAATCAGCTCAGCCTGACGTCAACGAATGCTCTGCTCAATCTCGACCGGAAAGTCCGGTTCGAACTGGCTGGACCGACTTCGTTCAAGCAAGGGCTTCCCCACCGGCGACAACCTTGACCTCGACCATTTCCTCGCTAAACCTAACCCTTCCGATTCTCCAATCACCAATGCCTCCAATTCTCCAAATTCCAACTCCGAGTCAACTCACTCATTCGATAAACAACTCCAGAATCTGAAGCCACCACGTCCAGAGGTGATCTCCAGCGAGTCCGCAGGAGACAAAGAATGGTTCGGTATAATGAGCAATATGCTCTCGGAGCTCTTCAACATGGGCGAACAAGCCCAAACCTCCAGATTTTCCAGGAAAAAAACTTCCAGGAAACAAACAAACCCTAGAATTTGCATTATCAAGACGCCAAACGTTAATTCTTCCGAGAAACGGAAAGGCAGTTCGGATAACGTGAGAAAAGACGAAAATATCCCCGCTTCAACAACGTCATTGAATTCAAGAAAAGAAGCGAAGAGAGAATCGACAGAAGAGGGCGACGATAACAACGTGGAAGAAGACGACGAAGCCGAAGAAGAAGAGAAAGAGAAAGGAGAAAAGGAACTGTTAGGGTACTCAAGAAGTGAAGTTACGGTAATAGACACGAGCAGCGAGGTGTGGAATGTTGATAAGCTTATCTTTAGGAGGAAAAATATCTGGAAAGTTAAGGACAAGAAAGGCAAGTCACGCACCTTTGGTAGAAAGAAGAGGAAAGCACCTCCCACTCCTCCATCAGACGACAACAATGTTGGTGTTTGCAATAAGAAGCGAAAGATTTCGAGTTCGGAGCTTCGGTCGTTGAAGGAAACGAGTGGAAGAAAATGTGGGTCGCCCACAAATAATGTAAGATTTAAGGTTACATGTCCCAAATTTCCTTTCCAGTAATTCTTTTTAAATTAATGACTATTATTTATGAACCCGTAAACTTAGTATTCACATTTGAATGGTTCCTTTGATCTGTATACATTGAGCTTTTCAAGAGCTTTTTTTGTCTTTAATGGAGAACCATTCTGTTTTTAGTTTTTGATTGAAGGGTTCAGTATTGCATGTATAACTAGATTTTCTTTGTTGCTTTTTGCACTTTTTGTTGGCTTTGGAAGTGTGAAAGGGAATTGTTTCTGTAAATTAAAGACCGGCAAAGTCACCATTTACGTTTAATTAGATGGTAATGAATAATGGTATTAAGATTGCACACGAGTGAATTCAGTTGGTATACGTTTCTGAGTTTGATTTCAATTAAGACATTGTAAATGTTGTTTTATGCTGTTCAAGACATTGAATATATTACTTTTAGCTTCTATTTATTTATATTAACATGTTACCTGTTCAAATCAAGAACCCTGGGCTGGATATGATATGCTCTTTTTCTAATTCTGAGGCTATTGTTAATGCTTTTAACTTTTAACTGTTCTTGATGTAATTTTTTCTGCTTAAGAAACTGAATTCAGTTTTTATGTTTCAGTAACCGATCTTGAATCTGATGATATTATTTGTTGAATCTGATGATATTATTTGTTTAGTGCTTTTCAAGCACTATTTTGTTAGATTTTATGGGGATATCCTTTAGTTCGATGTTTGGTGACTATTCTCAAAACACAGCTCCCATATAGGATGCTAATAAAACTTATGGTGCACAAAGTGACTGGAAGATTTAGATTTTCTAAGGGTGCAAATGATTTAATTTTGGCTTTGTGAAATGGGGAGATAATACCTGCATTTGTTGTTTCCTGTACTCTGAAAGTCACTATAGCAGTTTGGGTATTAACCTACTTCTTGTAAAGCTTCTGTCATATCGGGATGCTTCCTTTAAATTTCTACAATGCTTTTGAATAAGATTTGAGCTATTTATGCCTTTTGCAATAAATGTGCTGTTTCGACATGCAAATCTAACTAGGAATTTTGCTTCCAGAGATGTATTGGCTAACAATAATCAATTTTTTTTTTCAATCAGCATTAAAAATCATATTTTGCAGTGATTGGATGTTATATCATATGAATTCAACTTTCCTGAATTTCAGTTATTTCTTGTTGAGTTCTATTTTGAGTTCCATTGCCTGTTCCCTTGAAACATTTTGTTTGATCTTCAGATTCTTCCCTGGTGGATGTAAATTTTTTTTATTAAATCCTTCTCTTAAGTTACTGACTCGAACTCTTGGTTCTTGGTTTTCTGTTTTGACAAGAGATTCTTCCTTCTTCTGTTTAATCGTCTCTGGAATATGGTTTTTGTTGTTTACATGTGCTTTTCCCTTCTATTTTTTTTTCATGATAATTTTTTTTTTCCTTTCAAATGTGGACTCACTTTTACAATATTTCTGCATTATTGATGTAGACCTGGGTCAAGATATAGCAGGTAAAGCGTGTTTGTCCTTTTTTTGTGTATGTGAGATTGGCAATTCCCGCTTGCAAGTTGACATTCTATGTGATCATTTAGTATGGATAGAATGCCCCGTTAACAGGTTATCGACAGAAGTAGTTCTAACTTGTTTGTATTTTCATTTGCTTATGCAAGGAGCAGAATGCTCCAGGAGACAAAGGGGAAGAAGTTCGCCATGAGGTACCAAATGACCTTACCCAAGTTCTTAGAAAGAGGCAAGTAGACTAGCAAATTATTGCAGTTTCTTTCTTTCTTTTTTTTTTTTTTCATTTTAATATATTAGATGTACTTTGTGCTTAAATTTAATAGCTTCCAGTTATCCTTTCTCCAGATTGCCTCGGAAATCGGGGGTGGCGCATCTGTTATCTTTATAAAACCCATTCCATCAGGCAAGAAAAATGGAGCAAAGCTTGCAAAGAATTGCCTGAAGGACCCTCAAAGGCAATATAAGGCTTGATAAATCCATCAAACCAACCATGGCCAGACTACATGCCAATTCTGCATTTTGAACCTGCAATTGGTTCTATTTTAATTATACCTTCGCTATAGATAGGTGGAATTGGAAGGCCTATATCTGAGGTTGAGGCTAAAGTTGCTCTAAACTTCAAGCCTGTCAGTATGGCTCTGATTTCTTGCAGCCAACAGGTGTGAATGTGTTTATTAATTTTGTTCCATTTCATCGACCCATCCATAACATTTATTTTTATTTGAGAAGTAATATGAAAATTTAAATTAATTTAAATTTAATTTGATCCGATGGTCACTTCTGATATGTCAATTAGAAGTTAAAATTAAATTTATTTATATTCTTTTTTTCTTTAAAAAAGAATCAATAATAGGTATTTCTTAAAGCATAATATAACAAGAAAGCGGAACTATCATGTAAAGTCCTGGCTTTCGGAGTGTGAGCTATTGCCTAATGCTTAGAACGAGGAGCTCTCTGTTTTCTATCATCTGAACAGTATTTCGGACCCATTTGTCAGGCCCACGCCCCAAAGCTTGTCACGCTTTGGACGTGCATATTTAGAGCAAGCTAAAGCTATGTAGGTCATCTAGATTCATTGTGTGACGGGAGAGGAAAAAATCAGCTTACAAAGGGTTTGTAATGATGTCACCTTCGCTTCAGGAATCAGGACCATTTTCAACTCCATTTAGGCACCAACGCCAGCAATCTATTTCAACCCGTTCGCTTAGCTGACAAGAATTGAAGCGCCATCGATTGGTGAGTGAGCTCAACCAAAAATGGTTGCAGCGATTACCATGTTAACGCATTCCTCGTCTTTCCTCGTTTTCTGTTTTCTCGAACTCACATGCCTTACGTAGTCCACCAAAATTACAATCCCCAGTTTCTTTGTACGCAAATCAAACCGCCTGTACAGGCAGATGGTTCTCTCTGATAAACGTTTATACTACATCAGGAACTGAACTCAGGCCATTGACTTGTCTCCAACTAGCTAATCGTTTTCTCATATACTCTATTATATCCGATCCACGATCTACAATCATCATCCTTGCCAATTGCCATTGCTAGATTATCCATTTAATTCATCATAACATCTTTATCATTATGAGCTATGAGCTATTAAGATAATTGCGGTCAAACTTTGTAGTAATCCACAAGGCTGAGCCCCTCAAGAACCCATATCGGCAAGCCCGTGTCAACCAATGTGGCATGCTATGCTGAAAGGTTAGTCGCCTCCTATCCAAATGAATATCTGCGATATCAATCTGCAAAATACTCATCAGAGCTTGCTATGATCTCTGTGTGGCACAGCCAGATATAGCAGCTCCGGGTGTTAAAATATTAGCGGCAATTCCTCCCTTTAATCAACCAACAAATGGTGCATTTGCTTTTCTCTCAAGAACATTCATGACAACTCCCCATGTATCAGGAATTGTTGCCCTGCTGAAATTGTTAAAACAGGATTGGTCTCCTGCTGCTATTAAATCAGCATTTGTCACCACTGGTAATTCATTAAATTACCTTGCCAGATCCCAATATCTGCAAATACGCTTCACTTGTTTACCTTCTTGAACTGTTTTGATCCTTTAACAGCAGCATTGACTGCCAATCAATCTGGAGGACCAATTTTTCCTGAGGGAGAGCCAAGCTTGCTGATCCATTTAATTTTGGAGGTGGAATTGTGAACCCAAACGGCGCAGCAGATCCTGGTCTGGTTTATGACCTGGATACGGAGGATCATGTTCAATAACTATTTCGAATTTAGGAAGCACCTCACATCTTCGAAACCTCGGGCCATTCCCAAATTCTCGACCTCGAACAGACAACCTGACATCAACTTTATTATAGCAAACAAGGAAAAGACTGGTTCAGTCCAGTTTGACTGTTGTCAGAGTATAAAAAAGAAAGGAAAGTAAAAGTTGATCAAACTCTTAAGTTGTTGCTGTTTGAAATTCAACAAAACAAAATCTTATCAAATCCTCCCGCCTATTTGCTCAGCAATTGGAGGACAATTTTGATGAGGGTATTATAAAAACTATTAAAAAAAATCAACAGCAGATGGTATCACAACCCAAAGCAAATTTGGTATGGGAATTATAAAATCACCAAAATAAAAAGCAGATGGTCCAATAAGTAAAAACAAATACTATATGCCAAACGGAGTGCCCCGTTATGATGCAGTTGGTTTCTTTTATATGCTTTAACTTGAACTAGTAAAAGAAATCTCACAATTGGAGTAAGAAAGCATCAATCTTGATAATTTTTTTAAATGGTCCCATAACTTTATATTTTTTAAATAGAGTAAATAATGACTAAGAAAGAAATTACCTCAAGATTTTTGCCTAGTTTGATTAATTTGACAGAAGACAGAGGACCGTCATTCGAACCGTTAATGAACTGCTCCTGCTTTTTCTTGGTTTCATTATCAATTTAGTTGAAACTGTTCCCAAATAGGCTCAAGAAACTGGATTTGAGGTAATGAGGGGATTCGAGGCTTTTGGGGAGTGAACAAAGAGATGGATGAAGCTGAAGAAGAAGGACATGATGATGACGAGTCTGAGGCTGATAATTGGGTGGTGGAAACGTGCTTGCAACGAAGCGAACAGAGTCGTAGCCATTTGATTAAGGAGAATAGTGTTTGGATGGATGGAAACTGTAAGAAAATACTGGAAAAAGGGTTTTAGGCAGAAGAGAAAAAAAAAAGTGTTTTATGGCAGAGCTGGACGGATGTCCATGATTCCCCCCTCCACGGCTGGTGAATCCTTTTGCCTTCGGATTTGGAAATAAAATCATGATTCAAGATACACGTGGTTTGGATAAAGTCATTGGGACCCATCTTTTAAATTAGACGTGGGTCCCTCAGTCTGCAGCCCTTGCTCCTTACGGCTTACGGTTTGGGATAGTAAACCATAGCCACGTTTGGGATCCATCTCATGCAATGAAAAAGATTATTGGTGATGTAAGATTAATTATTATTATTATTATTATTTTACATTACTAATGGCTTTGATTTTTAATAATCTTTTTTTAATTATTACATTTATCTTTTGTATAAAAACAAGTGGTGCTCTAACATTATTACTTGTCTGATTACTTTTAATCTGAATTTATTATTATTTTCAAAATAAATCATAACTTGATATGTAACAATCTCCTTCCATGAAATTTTTAAATTTTATTAACAATAAATGAAATAATTAATATCAAATGTTGAAATTTAGTTTTTTTATTAAAGTTACATTTACAACAATAATTATAATCAAATTAAAATATTGTATTTTATATAAAAATATTAAATAAATAAAAAAAACAAATAAATTAATAAATTAACATGTAATCAAATAAATTTATCATAAAATTAAATCAAATTAAATGTATAACAAACTTTTAACTTCAAATTAAAAAAATATAGAATAATAAAATTATAATTTAAATTTCAACAACGAAAAGGGGGAAAAGGTTAACCAAATTAAGTGGCAATGTACTCGAATAATTAGAAAAAGAATTTTTAAAAGATAATAACAACTCTTCCGTATAAACTTGAGTCATATGCATCACCTCATCACAGCCAACGGTGAAAATTAATTTCTCTTGTTTCCTGAAATTTCTCTCACCCTCTATAAATATTAACAGTAAAAATATATTTTTTAAAAAATAAATGTGACATCAAGACAAGATAAAGGAATGTGAATATATGTAGATTTTATTCCGTCAAAATATCGTCCTCAAAGCATCACAACAAATTCTAAAAGTAAAATAAAAATAATATGAAAAAATTAAAATTATATATAAATTTAACATAAATAAAAAATATATTTTATATTTTTATATTTATACAAATTATAACAAATAATTGTCATATAAAACTAATAAAAATAAACAAATTATTAATATTTTACCAAAAAAATTCACTAATCATCAGATCTACTCTTACTTGCCACTTGCCTTAATAGGAAAAAGAGGTGGAACTCACCGTCCACAAACACCGGGCGTAGAGACAAAAAATTAAGAGAGATGAGAAGAAAAGGAACGTGCGTTTTTTACAACTTTAAACCACAAAACAAAGCGTTCCCTTGAAATATCCCCACGTGTCGGGTTCCTGTCCAGTAAATTCACTGTTCCTCAAGGCATTCACGAAAATATCTTTCAACTGTATCGAATAGATTATTAGCATTGGGCCCCACACAGAAAATATCCCAAATCCCCCAATCTAAAGAAAGCCGAAGCTGTAGGCCTTGTTGACCCTTAAAATATTTATTTATTTATTTATTTCTGGTTTTAGAGCAAACATTAAACGACAGCCCCAAAATCCAATGACTCTGAGCTCTTAGATCCTCCCTTCCAGTAGTTAACGTGGCTTCCCTAAGGCCATACAAAACAGACTTAAAAGATATTTTTCCTTGTTCGTTGGTGAGATACTTGCCACCGTTACATTAGAGGCAGTTGGCAACTCAATTAGTTTTGTAGCCGTCCGATTAAGGGGCTTGTCTTAAGATATTTTTTATAGGCGGCATGGCTATATAAATTTTAGCAGAAGCCGGGCTAGATTTTCGAGTTCTTTTGCTTTACTCTGAGTTCAGAGTTCAAAGAAGTAATATAATACTGAGGTGGAACTGGATTTTAGTGGTAAAAGAGAAAAACATATGGGTGAGGTTGTGGCAAGTAGCGAGGAAGTGGAGGAGGTGAAGACTGAGAGCGAAACTGAGAAGGAAAATGGGGAGTTTGAAGGGAATAAGAGGAGGAAGAAGAATCCTGGGAGTTCTTCCTCTGGGGAAGCGGTGAAATGGGAAAGGTTTTTTCCCAGGATGCCGTTGAGGGTTTTGTTGGTCGAAGCTGACGATTCAACCAGGCAGATTATAGCTGCTCTTCTCAGGAAATGCAGTTACAGAGGTTGGTTTCTTCTTTTTTTTTAAACCCTTTTTCTCTCTGTCTCTCTCTGACTGGTAATACTTTTTTCTTTTTATCCATGAATTTCTACTGGTTTCTATTTCGTACGGAGAGGGTTTGTTTGAATTATTTTTATCAGGCGAAAAATTCTTTTTTATGGTTTCAATTGCTTCAGCTCTAATGGGTACCTATTTGCCCCATGCTGAGACTCGTCTCTGTTTCATGACTTCCTTGCTTGAGTTTTTAATATGAAAAAACATGCCTTTTCATCAGCAGTAATGTGAATTGGATTAGCGGAAAAAAAATCCATGTTTTCAGTTGCTTCGGCCTTAATGTTTACTTTAAAATTTTGAGAGTCATAGTTCAACCTGACTTCTCTCCTCTTCATTAAATGTTTTTCAGCAGTGGCTCTGCCTCTTCCTAGCTCAAATAGTTTACACTCTACAGGAATATCATTTTTTTTGGTCATTGAATAACTCTTATAGATTTGGTTAATTTTTAGTAAAATTTCCTTTGGAGTTAGGATCCACATGCCCAAATCCATTTCATGTTTTGCAAAATTGGGTGAATATAATTAAAATGAAGCAAAACAAAATCTCATAATTTATAGATTAAGGCCAAAGAATAAAAGGAGGCAAAAACAGAACATTGCTCTGGGATGTTTATACACTTGGGCTTATCATAGTCTTCCATGTGGATCTAGAATGCTTAAAACAGACTTGGTCATAGGCAATTCATTCGCTGATTCAAAGTGGGTAAGCCGGGGCATGAAGGCTCACCGGACTTGGTGCATTGAGAAGCTGCTATTCCATTAATTACTCACCCCTGAGTAATTAGGGCAAAGGCTGGGGTTAGATCCTATTTACTCAACAGGTGTCATTAGGGCATCATCCCATCCTAAAACATGTTTAGCTCAGCTAGTAAATCTGTTTCTCTAAAAATCCATTTGCGTTAGTATTATCCTTTTGGTTGTTTTAGCACACCTGCAAAGGGGTTCACCCCAACTAGATTGGTAGTAAGATTGAATTGAGTCCGAGGATATCTACTTCGTATGCAAGTTTCTCTGCTTTTTAGCATTTTGGCTATAAAAAATGGTTAGAGATGGTGGTTCAAGCTGTTATTTTTACTTTTTTTCAGGCCTAGAAAACTGTCCTTTGATTCTTGCTTCAAAGAATAAATTGTTTAGAATAAAAATATGCTACATTTGGGACTGAAAATGTTGTTTTTTTTTCATTTTTGGCAGTTGTTTCTGTTCCTGATGGCTTGAAGGCATGGGAGATGCTAAAAGGAAAGTCCCATGACATTGATCTCATTTTGACAGAAGTGGATTTGCCATCTATATCAGGATTCGCTCTTCTTACACTAATAATGGAGCATGAGATTTGTAAAAGCATCCCTGTTATAAGTATGATATGAAGGATGCTATAATATTTTCTTGACATTTGTACAGTTGCTAGGATTTTCTACTATGGGTCTATGACAATGCACTTTAAATAAAATTATCTTTTTCTTTGGGTGTGATTGTGCAGTGATGTCGTCACAAGATTCAATTAGCACAGTATATAAATGCATGTTGAGAGGGGCTGCTGACTACCTTGTTAAGCCAATAAGGAGAAATGAGCTGAGAAATTTATGGCAGCATGCATGGAGAAGGCAATCAGTATGCTTACTTCTTAACTTTATTTCCCTCTCTTTTTTTACATTTCTTTTGAAGTTATAATTTGCATTTTTTGTGATTCTGATTAGTGATTTATGTCTGTTGTTCAAATCAGTTTATAGTTGGTGGAAACACCCCCCACGATGAGAGCATTGGACAGAAAAACGTTGAAGCTACCTCTGAAAATAATGCTGCAAGTAATCATTCCTGTGGTTGCTTGGCTGGTGTCCAAAGAAATAAGGAACAAGCTGAGAAAGGGAGTGATGCTGAGGTCAGTGCTCTTCATCTGTTATATGATCTTTGTTTTGTGATTGATCAGTGCATTTCCTATCTACAGGATTTGCCTTTATTGTGCCTTTTTAAAGACAATCTACTGTTTCCACTTTTTCATGTATGGACTGATTCAGCTTATTTGAAATTACTAATTTTATGTGAATAGTAATATCCCTTTTGTCATCTTCATTATTGACTATTAATGATAGGAGCAAAGAGTCGCATAAAAACCTAGGAGTCTAAAAACTGAAATATTTTAACCTAAATCTGTCACAAACATTTTAACAAATACCACTGATTGTGGAAGATGCTTGGGATGAATGTAGATGCTTTACGATAACATGCGTTGCTCAATTCGACTCAAGTTATACATTTAATTTTTACTTCTCAGCATATTAACAAGCTTGTTTTGGATGTGCAAATTTGTCATAAATTGGTTTCATTGTGATTTAGCTTACTGACAACCATATAGCTAATTTAGATTTCTCATGGAGTAACCAAAAAATAGTTCTGCGAAGGTCATATCCGATGAGGTCACTCATGGTCAAAAGGAATTTCCTTTCGCTTTAAGTTGGCTACGTGAAGTTTTATATAGACTGCATGTTTGTTGTATCTTGCAGAGCTCTTGTACAAAGTCAAACACTGAAGCTGAGAGTGCCCAAATGGAAAATATGCTGGAATTTTCACACTTGATAAAGGGAAAATCTCTACCAAGTGAGCTGCAGAAGTATGAAGTTCATGTGAATTTTAATCAGAAACTGCTCATGCATGAGATGAAAACTGGGGGTAAGACACTAAAATTTGAATTTTGGCATTCTTTTCTTGTCAGTTGGAGAGCATCTAACCTTCTCTGAACTCAATTAAATTTTTGAGCAGTTGTTGATGCCTCAAAGGATGCCTACGCAACAACTGTATACAAGGGTGGTGAACTGGAAAGTCAAAGAAGAGATACTAATATCTTGGTTGAGGCTGGTGATGCCCTTGTTGATTCACCAAGAGACGCTGTTGACTTCATGGGAACATTTAATAGAAATTGCAGTTCTTCTTCAATAAATAGCACAAGCATGTTTGATTCTTCTCCACACTTGGATCTTTCCTTGAGAAGATGTAATTCTCATGTTTTTGAGAATCATGTTACTCAAGAAAGGCCTACCCTCTGGCATCCTAATTCATCAGCCTTTACAAGGTTGGTTTCTGTTGTCTTTGTCATTATCCTCTTGAGAATACAGCACAAAAACCTTTGAAGTGTTTTGGAACAAATGGATTGAATCAGATTTTTCTTTTGCATGTGTTATACCCAAAAATTGAATTTTTTAGATGCTAATCATATCATTCATATCAATGATCCTTAATGCAGGTACACTAGCAGACAATCACAGCCCCTGCATTCAACATTGACAAGTGTCAGTAATCAAAACAAAGAATCTGGAACTAATTCGGAGAAGATGTTGTCCAATATTGTTTCTGAATATAACTTTGATACTCCTAGTCCGATGCTGACTTCTCAAAGAAACATGATCCCTTTGACTACTGAAACTACAGGTCAATTGAGGTCAACTGAAGCAGCAGCATCATGCATGCAACACAGAGTATTTCCTGTCCCAGTATCAGTGAAGGGTGTAAGATTGAATAACCTGTGCGATGGCCATACTGTAATTCCTCCAATCTTTTGTACACAGTCAATTTCATCGCCAGTGCCAAGTCCAAGCTCATCCAACCAACAGGAACCTGCCTTTCGTGTGAATCCATTTCGTCATTCCAGTTTTGAAACTAACTCCTCTGGACAGTTGTATGACCAACTTGCCTCCAATGCAAATCAGTCAACCAACCAACCTTTACACAAGCTGGATCAAAAGTTGGATTCAACTGAGGATAGAGGACATATTTCTCCTGCCACTGATCAGATTGCAAGCAGCAGTTTCTGTAATGGCTCCCTGAGTCAACTTAATGGTATTGCATATGGAAGCTCCGGGGCAAGTAATGGCAATATTGATCAGGTTGCTATAGTTCGAGCTTCTACAGAGAACAAGAATGATGACAGTTTTCCTAGTCCTGGTGGAAATTCACACCGTTCTATTCAAAGAGAAGCAGCTCTAACCAAGTTTCGCTTGAAGCGGAAGGATAGATGCTATGAGAAAAAGGTACATAATTAATCATCAGGTGCCATCAATATGTGTTTACATTTTTACTGATACACTACTTTGTATACAAGAAATGCTATTCTAAGATCCATTAATACTATAAGATACTCATGTTGCATGAAAGTAATAAGTAATTTTCTGGTGCTACTCTTTGATTGCAAAGTAAAATCTAGAACCATGTACAGGTCGCATTCACATCGATTGAGCAACTTAGAAGCAGCTAATGTTTCACACTGAATTCTTTTTACAGGTCCGATATGAGAGCAGAAAGAAACTTGCAGAGCAGCGCCCAAGAGTTAAAGGTCAGTTTGTTCGTCAAGCGTAGGCTGATCCTACACATACAAAAGCTGAGTCTCATTATGGCAATTCATCTGATGGCTAGTTACATCTTTGTAAACTAAGGAGAGCATGGATTCGAATTTGCTTGATCTTTAGAAATGGTGGCACTGGCTACTTAAGCCTTTTGTTTTTCGAAGCTGAAGAAAAAAAAGGGGCAGAATTCTAAAGTTGCTTTTGCACATATCCATGCTCATTATATTAATGGTTATTGGCACAGGTTGCTATGTACTTATTGTAAAATAATATTTTGAGCTCTTAGTTTAGAGAGTTCTATTCCCTGTTTTTCATTGGGTTGCCTGAGTCATTCTTTATTGGTTACCTTGTAGATTTGTTCAGTCAATCGGTCTTATATGCAAGTCGCAATAACCATACAAACTTAGTGTACATACAAATCTAGTGTAATCTCATTTTCTCACCATGCAAACACAAATTTTCCTGCGCACGAGTTTCTAAATTCTAACAAATGAAAAAAAAAGTAGAGTGCTTTACTGCCTTCCCTGTGCAGAATGGATACGACATCATGACAAAAATCTATTACTAGTAATATTTTCAACTTGGTGTAAGCTTATTCCTATGTTGTCATGGACGCTCCTTGATGCGGGAAAATCCAGGATGCTTGAAAATAATTGAATTCATAGGGTGCTGCCATGGTTATTGGTTGCAACGAAGCAGAGTTCTGATTCTGCTTTTTCTTTGGTATGGTGTTCCACCAATAATAGAATTTGAATTCTTGCTTGCTCTTGATCACTGCTGATTAGGCTGATTCATGATTCCAATTTAATGTAATCCCATCTTTATTAGTTTGTAACAAATACAAACTATCATGTAGGATTGAGTGAACATACGATCACCGAAGTACAAAAATTTGAGACCGATGTGACCAACCTATCATCCAAAACCTTATAGACAGGCTCTATCTACAAGGAGATGAAATGTCATTAATCCAGGGTTGTCACTTTTCGCACTTCGCTCTTTTTTTGACTCTTGCTCTTGTCCGAATCTGGTTGCTTATAGGTTTAAAACTTTAAATTGATCAAACAATGAAAAGAACAAGACAATAGAATTACATCAGCTTTTTAATGAAGTTACACTCACTCTACAAACCATGGTACCACCTCTCTCCCACAACACTCCACAAATAAAAATAAATAAATAAATAAATAAATAAAAGGAAGCAATGATTTTAGCCCATTACCATCAACCCCATCAACACATGCTTATCTCCAAAAAATCAAAGAAATAAAAAGTTTAAGATTTTTTTTTCCTATTATAATGAGAAACATGATGGATACAAAATTTGGCGCCAGAGCAAAAAAAAAAAAAAGTAAATTTAGGGAAACATAAGAAATAAATCAAAATCATTACTCAAAGACTCAAGTGTCAATAGTCATGGGGTCATACAGCTTTATCTTTGATTGGAGGGCTCCAAAACTCAAAAAGTTTTTTAAAGCAAACCTTTTCTTTTCTCTAATTTCAAACGTCTCTCCAACCCCAGACTGTAATGTTACTTTCAAAGATCCTAATTAGGAGGGTCCCTTGGCTTATTTGTCTAACAAACCTGACTGACTAATTAGACTGATCTATCAAAAATACATGGCTCAGATTGAGAGGAAGGGTTCATGTATTGATCCGGCATCAAATTTTTAAGAATAGTTTATACCCTTTCTTAGCGGCTAAATAAAGACACCCAGAAATCATTAGGATGATTTCCTGCTGTTTCCAAAAAGTTAGTTTACAGATTCTTCGTGTCTCACTTCTTCTTTTGAACCCTTTTGTGTACAGCTCAATAATGTAAGAAACTTTTAAGTACAACTTCAAAACTACAGCTTTTATGTAAAAACGCGTGATTCCCATGCACTGCTCATATCTTGGATTATATAGTAATTCAATTATCATGCTGAGCAAAACCCATTTTACTTTCACTAAACAAGGTGGCTAATGAAGAGAGAGAGAGAGAGAGAGAGAGAGAAATGAAGATGCCACTAGGCCACCGGACTGCATTTCAACTTACATCCAATCGACTTGAAAGGCTATGGCTACACTATCTTTAAGCTCTTTTAAAAGCCATACTTTCCTTTAAATTTTTTTAAAAGCGTTTCCATTCCAGATTCTGGTTAAGAAAGCTGAAAAAAGATATCCCCGTATCCTCCCCTTCTCAATCATCATGATTGCAGAAACTAAAACATATCTTCTTGTAAAGTATTCGGCGTATAAAACTTGTAACTCAAGCCTATTGGATGGTTCTCTGAGATAGGATCATGCATGCACATTCATGGTTTTTGAAGGGGTCCTAAATCCCAATTGGGGGATATTGGGACCCATGATATATTGAGCATCCATTGATGAGTTCCATTAGTACTACGGTTGTGGTTACAGCTGGTAATCACCAAGCAGTAGTCCTTTGGCTATATATGTAAGACCAGAAAAAAAAGGTGAGAATCTGCAGAAAAATGACCAAATGCTTATATGAGATCGTGTTGTAGGCTTATTCATTCCTGTTATTAGTAATCTAATAGAATGTCAAGTTGATTTTGTGTTTCATCATTTACAGCCAAAGAAAATTATGTTAAGCATTGCATACATGCTTGTCTACAAATGAAATAAAATTTGTTGACGATTGTCTCCCTGATTCTGATGTGCAAGTAATCAGATTTGTCTATTGTGCAATTCCGAAAATGAATATATTATAGAATTTCCAAGAAAATTAATATATTATAGTATTTCCAAGAAAATTAAGCACCAACATGTAGCTATCTTATTTGTTTCTCCAAAAACGTGAAGCACTTAAACTCCATCGAATTGGTCATTGCGTAACAATCCCATTAGATCATTCAGATTTGCTACATCCGCAAGAGACCAAAGAAAGGAGCATGGTCTACGGATCCACTAGTCGGAGATGTATCAGTCATGACATTTGAAAGACTCAGGAAGTTTTTTTAAGTGAAATTCGTAAAGTTTTTAATTAAAAATATTAAATAAAAGTTAAAATTAATAGATTAAAAAAATTTGTTGCATAAGTTAAATATATAAAATTTAAATTAATAAATTTTGATATATATTTTTAGAAAGATATTTTTAATAAAAATATTGATAAAATTTTTATTATTAAATAAATATTAATTAAATTTAAATTATAAATAAATTTTTTAATAATTTTTTTAAATATTATTAATTTTTATATTAAAATTTATCAATCTACCAATTAATATTTTTTTATTACTTTTATTAAATCATTTTTTTAAATTACAAAAGCGACCTAATAAACTTCGCAAGTTTATCAATCTATCGTAGATTTTAAAGGTGCATTCGAGTAGCTACCGAGTGAATATCTATTAGCCACTTCTCACCACCAGCGTGATTTGCCAGTCAAAAGTATGAGAGTAAAATAATTGCTGCTTTCTATTTCCAATTTCTCCCTTTATTAAGCCCATCGTCTCCATTTCTTAGCCTTGGAAACCTTCTGTCTTTCCCTTTCCCCTTCCGTTGCCTACTCCCTTCTCCCTCTTGCAAATGTCTCAAGCGTTCTCAAAGTCTCCCAAACACTGTGCCAAGCAAGGACTAAGCATTGACAAGTCCTACAAGAAATTATTTTTTGCCTTCTCTGCATTTTTTACCACAGTTTTAGCATTTATATTCCTCATCTGGCTTATCCTTCACCCTGCAAAACCACAGTTCTCCCTCAGAGAAGCTAATATCTACCAACTCAATCTCTCAGGCCCTCACCTTCTCAACTCTTCCATCCAACTTACCTTGCTCTCCAAAAATCCAAATAAAAACGTTGGCATTTACTACGACGAGTTGCAAGCTTATGCTGCATATAAAGGGCAGCAGATAACTGTTGATACCTTTCTTCCTCCTTTCTACCAAGGAAATGAAGAAAGCAACCTCTTAACTGCATCCTTAGAGGGAACAGGGCTGCCTGTGGCTCCATCCTTTGGTTATGAAGTCGGGCGTGATCAGACTGCTGGGAGAATAGTCCTGAACCTGAAAGTAAACGGAAAGCTTAGGTGGAAGGTTGGGACTTGGGTTTCTGGCAGATATCGCTTTAACGTTAACTGTGTTTCTGTTATGGCCTTTGGACCTACTGCCCCAACAGCTCCACTGAGTTCAAATCAAGGAACTCGGTGTTCCACTGCTGTGTGACCTTCTGAGATGGCATGTTAACTAACATGCTTAGCAGTTATTTTAGTTCTATCTTTTGAATTGGAAGCTTTTATCAGATTGATGTTCTATAGAATTTTCACTGTTTATGTATTGTATTCTGTAAACTAAATTTATCACAAAGATTGAAACTTTAAGGATTGTAATGTCGTAAGTGCTAATGAAAAGCTTTAAGGATTCTATGTTTATCATTGTGGCCGGATTTTGCTTGCAATGCTTGGTGGAGGATAAAAAAGAAGGTGCATAGCTTCTTTTTTTTAGTGGAAAGATGAGGAGGTATTGTTTCACCTTTGCTCCATTGGTTGTTCAATGAGCAGGAAGAAAGACAAGTGGAAATAGGGGTGATGGTGGATGAGATTCTATCGGAAAGAAAAAGGGCTGCAAAAGGCGGAAAATAGGTGCTTTGGTGATCAAGGAATCATCAAATTCCATGTCAACGACCCTTTAACCTTTAATGAATATAGACGGTTGAGTCATGGTGGCTATATAGACCAATCATATAGCCGCTAGCTCACAACTGCTGGGTCGCTCTGCTTCCTGAATCTTTTCTCTCCATTCTTTCCCTATCGACTATGAATAATTGAATATACCGAATGAAAAGCGAAATCCGGAAGATGGTTTAATATTCCTTCCTTTCCTCAAGAAATTTTATTATGAAATACTTTCATTGTACAAGCTTATGTATAGGCTCTTTCCTATATAGGTAAAACCTCCAACTTTTAACTAGGACAACAGAAGGGAGGATGCAATGCCTCAGGTCATGGCCTTTATGCACAATCAATCTTTTTGTAGAGGGAAGAGATCAAACGTTATTGGCATGAGACTTAGATACACTAGTTGTTTGAAGCACCTATATTGCAACTAATAAATGATTTCTACAGTGAAAAAATCTCGGAAAAGCAGAAAAACTTGAAATAGAATAGGAATTATTTTCGAAAGTGACCAAACTTTTTAAGGATATGATAAGCTAGTGATTTCTCACCTTATGATCACTTCTAATAGTGTCAACAACGAAATAGCTACGAAACTTCACAAAGCTTATGCGTTTCACTTTTGATCCCCCCAAAGGGCAAAGTCTAGAATATCAAGTTCGACTACATTATACTTTCCACCTAGAAGTTGTGCTGTTTCTGTATGCAGTATAGTTTCTTATTGGCATATACTGGATCTAATCGGTGTATATTGCTGACCGCTGAGCACTACTCAAACAGTGCAAGAGGACATCATGGCAATAACCATAGGACTGCATTGCAGTCAGCTACTTTTCTCACATCAGAGGCAATTCCGAGCAGATACCAGCATGAAAAGTTTGTCAAAGACATAACTTAACACATCCTCGGTAAAACTCCAGCATCAGTTCACATTGTTAGAACTAAACTTATTACGTTCCGAGATCGAGACATAACACGATCATATTTTTTTGAAGTAAAACTTTAAAGCAATGCGAAACCTAATCCATAACCATTGAACAACTCTTAAATATAATAAGATTCTCATTAAACAAAATAACTAAATAACAAGTCTCCAAATGTTTAAAGTCGAGTATTACAACTAAAAGAAACAATACTTTATAAAATCTTAATTTCTAAGTAGTTCTCCAATGCTCGATTCTTCTAGCTTTTCTCAAGCTAATCATACTTATCATTTATAACATCTGTAAAAGAAAAGAAAATAGAGAATGAGCAAACCATAGCTCAGTAAGTAAAGACTCACACACATTATCGAATTAAACATCATTTTTATATGTATTATATAGATTGTTCTCAAAACATTTATCAACTCATAATGTCAAAAATAATTCGAAAATCAGCATTCTATTAAGCATTCATAGATCAAAAATCAGAATCAAAACATGTCACCAAATCATGGATTAATTTATAAAAATCATTTGTCATAAATCATCATCATTATCATTTGTTTATCATTAGCTACGGTCACTACTATAATCCATGACATTGGCCGTATCGATAATTTCATCCTCATGATCATTGCTAACTATTATAACCCGCTAGCCAGGCCTTACGCTAACTATTATAACCCGTTAGCAGGGCCGTATGATAATGTCTATGCTAACTACTATAACCCGTTAGTCAGAGTAGTAGAACTAGTTCTGGTGTCAATGATCCCACTTCTTAGGGATGTAAAAACGTAACCATCACAAAATTATTCTTTAAACATAAATCATTTTCTGATTTCATTCATAAGTATAATCCATAATTTATATAGAGAAACACAAAATAATCATATGCTTGATCCTATTTTCATACATCGAAAATAATGAAATAAAATATTCATTTATTTAGAAACATACATATATACATAGATTCGAAAACAAGCAAAATGTGTGAGATTATACTTACCTCCTTCCAATTTCATCACTTAGTTTTTCTCTCTCAATAATTAATAGCTTATTCAAGATAATTTCAATATAACAGTTATTAATCAACCCATTTGAGATCACTTATACCGAAACAATTAAGCTAAATAAGAAATAACTCGAGTAATTAATTCTGGTAGCCTACACTACTTTTACTAAAATGATCATATCTCAAGATATCCAATTCGAAATTAAAATCTTTTTAATGCGTTAGAAACTATACTCGACGAGCTTTCTAAACATATATGGCCCATCTCGTGATTCTTTGTGGATTAATTATAACAATTTTTGAAATCTACGTTATATACTGCTGCTAGACAGCCTGTATACCTTCTCCTAAAAATTATGTATTTATTCATAAGAAACTCCAAATTCAATTATATTTGTTTTATTGGAAAGTAGACTCGATAAGCTTTCCAAACATATATGGCTTAACCTATAAATCCTTGTCTAAAAATTAAAAGGAATTCATAATTCCTCCCTGCTGCTGCTACTAGGCAGCATGTACATCTTTAGGTAAAAATTAGGTAACTCTGTGCTTGATCGAATTGATCGGGTCATGTAGGAACAAGGTTCAAGTCTACCGGTCTGTTAGGATGCCTCAGCTGCATACATCACTGCACTTCCACTTGACACCTATCGTAATGATAAACGGCTCGTCTCGCCGTGACCTTCTCTTGAATTCTCAAAACTTCTGTCACTCGATCCCCGCAGGGACAGAGAACCCCTTGCCGTCTCGGCTGTGCTACCGGAGGCTCTGGGGAAGTCGGAATAGGAGAGCACTCATCTTGGGGTGGGATTCCTACTTAGATACATAAAAAATTTGAATTCAACTCCCGTTTATTTCATTAGAAAGTAGATTCAACATGCTTTCTAACGGAATATAATAATCATAGCAGTATTTAATCCTTTAATACAGAGTATAACCTTAATCTATCACTGTAAACACATGGTTCATATCATGATTCGTACGAAACAAAATTTTCCGTTATATTCCTATCAAAAGTTTATTTCAGTAATAAAATCACATTACCAATTTTTTCAACACTTAATTAGACCTTAATTAAAACCTAAATCATCTACCCGAAGAGGGATAATGGAAACCTTAAAATTTTAGGGTTTCTCAATTACAAATTACACCTTAAGACTTAACAATCAACACTCGAAAATTAAAAGAAATTATTTATTCACTTCTAACAGATAATTCTCATTGTAGATTTGTTCTTTCCTTTCACTTAGAATCCTTTAATTTATCTTTTTTGTATAAGAAACAAAGAAAAAATAAGTTTGTATTTTTCTTTCCGTTAATCGTTAATTGAAAACTAAATAAATTAATCTTATACTAAAAATTAAATTATTTATTAATAAATCATTTGCATTTCTCAATCTTTATTAAAAAATCTCTCCACTTATCTCCACTTATAAAAATACTTGAAATAGTCTTTTTTTTTTTTTTTTTTTTTTTTTTTTACGGATATTACAAAACTCTTGAGGCAGATTTCAGCAAAACTTCCTTACGCAAAAACCCCAAAAGCCGTTCTTTAAGTTTCTAAACCCTAATCAATTAGAATGATATCGAACTCTTCAATCAAAATTATGCAGCATAGGAGTGAGAGCAGCTCAGTCTGAATGTTAGAACAGAAGAAACATAAACGAACTCCACTTGCTTCTTGTCAGATACAAAATCAGTTTCCTAATTAAAGAGGAAAAATACTTCAATTTTTCACAAGAAACCTCAAAAGAAGTTATTCAATGAACTCTTTAAACTTAATGACCTTGAAGCAGAACTCCTCTCATATCCTTATGGGAATAGAGAATTCATGGTTTGGATGGCTTCGCAAAGAGATACCGACCGCACATCGCATCTTTTCTGGACTAAACCCCTAAATTCAATATTTTATTCAAGTTAATAAAAAATTACTTTCATTTTGTGTAATTAATTCCTTTAATTCCTTAGCATCTCATCTTCAAAAACAAGATCAAACAACAAGAAAACATAAAACTATAAACCCTTAAAAGCTTCCGAATAATTCAAGCAAGATTTCGCATCCATACGTGGAAATTCAAAAACAAACCGTATCAGAACTAATCCATTTCCGGTAATGCTTCGTTACAGGCTCAGCTTGCTCCAATCCCTTTGTCCCATCAAAATCCTCACTCTTCCTTTTCTTCGATAGAATAATCGTCCTCATGCAAACCTTCCACCCACGCGTCTACCGAATGCAAAACATAACGCGTGGCAAAACCCGGATATGATACCGAATTTCGCTCTTCCAATTTTTTTAATAAAACTATTAGATCTTATAATTAGATTCGCCGTTAACTTTTTTAAGACATGATTAATCACTTAATTAATTTATATTTATAAAATCAAAATTAAATTTAAAAGTATAATTACGTGTGATAAAAGTTATAACAATTTCATATTATTCACTCAAAAAATAATATTAGTTTAATTTTATATTATTCAAAACTTAAAATTTATTAAATAATTTAATATCAAAAATTATACTTAAATTATTTTAATCTGTTGATAATAATTCAATAATATCCTATCATCTCATGAGTATTTAAAAAGATTATTTATCGCACTTGAAAAAAGTTTTGTCATCGGATTCATTTAATATTTATAAAATCTAATTTTATGAAAAAAAAACTCTTTATTTTCAAAAATATTTTGCAATATGTTGATAAAAATTTTTACTAAAAATTTTTCTTCAATATGTTGATAGGATTTTATGAATTTTTTTTAAATTAATTTTTATTTAAAATCATAAAGTTTTCTAATATAGTGGTAAAACTTTATCTTAAAAATCAAATTATCTTTCAACATGTTGATAAGGTTTTATTGAAAACTACTTTTTTTAATTTATTTTTTAAAAAATTAATAAGATTCTCTAATATGTTGATAAAATTTTATTTTAAAAGATCTAATTATCTTTTAATATGTTGGTAGGACATTTTATTTAAACATTTATTTTAAAAAATTTGAACCCTTCAATATGTTAATAAGATTATAAATTTATTATAAAAATTTATTTTAAATAAAAAAGAAAGAGAAACAATTAAG